GGACGTTATGACTGGTATGTTAGCTTGCTGTTGGGGTCTGGCCAATTGGGGGTCGGACATGCCCTGGAACTCTACCCCAGTCCCTTGCTGGCTGGCCAACGTCCCGCGTCTCTCCCCGTCTCCAGCCCTACACCAGTGGGGTTCCTCGGCCTGGACTGCACCCTCCCCAACTCCAGGAACCCTCAGGGGATGTCGGAGAGCCAGTTTCAGCCCGATCCTGTAGACCAGGCCGAGGGACCCCACTGGTGCACGAATTCATGCACCAGTATGAAATAATGAAGTACAATATTGGTTAAACAGTGCTCTTATATCTTCTTATGAATTTTTTTTTATAAATGGTTATGGTTTCCAAGTGCACTTTATTTCCTTAGGAGAAGAACAACCCATATTATTTTTCTTTTAATATAATTAAAGAAACATTACTCAGTATGATAAGATTTCTTTTAAAAAAATTGGTCTTAAGAAATCTATGTACTCTTATGAGATAAATAAGAATTTCTAAATACTTCATTCAAAGTTGGAAACCAATTTCGGTGGGAAGAAAAATGACAAAGGGAAAGCTGTTAGATATCACAAAGTCAAGGAATTAATAAAGTGGTTCAATTAAATTCTGCAGAAATCATAAAAACAGACACTCCAGGAATAAACAGAGAGAGTAAACTGCACTTCCACAACTTGATCTAAGAATCAAAACATCTGGCTCTGAGGCTTTGAGTCCAGCTGTAATGTGAATTTCTTCAGCCCTATGAAAATGGGTCCTTTTATAGCTGCCATCCCAAGCAATCTTTTCAGAGCCCTCTTTATGTCTTTGCTCCTGAGACTGTAGATGAAGGGGTTCAGCATGGGTGTGACCACAGTGTACATCACTGAGGCTGCTGCACTTGAGTGTGGGCTATGGGTAGCAGCAGAACTGAGGTATACTCCTAGGGCTGTACCATAAAACAAAGAGACAACCAAGAGGTGAGACACACAGGTAGAAAATGCCTTATACTTCCCCTGAGCTGATGGGATTGCACGTATGGAGGCCACTATCTTAGAGTAAGAGTAAAGGATACCAACAAAGGGACCACCACCCAGGAGTCCAGTTCCAAAATACATCACCATGTTGTTAAGAAAGGTGTCAGAAGAGGCAAGTTGGACCATCTGATTGAGTTCACAGAAAAAGTGTGGGATTTCTAAGTCTGGATAGAAAGACAGTCGCAATGCGGTTAAGCCTTGTAACAAGGAATCCAAAGCACTCATGATCCAGGACACCAGAACCAGCAGTCCACAGAGCCGGGGGTTCATGATGACTGTGTAGTGCAGCGGGTGGCAGATGGCCACAAGCCGGTCATAGGCCATCACAGTCAGGAGGAAGTCATCCAGTCCCCCAAATAATAGGAAAAAGAACATCTGGGTGATGCAGCCTTCATAGGTGATGGCTTTGCTCTGTGTCTGGATGTTCCACAGCATCTTTGGGACGGTGGTGGAGGTGACACAGATGTCTACCAAGGACAGGTTGGAGAGGAAGAAGTACATGGGTGTGTGGAGGTGGGAGTCTGAGCTGACGGCCAGGACAATGAGTAGGTTTCCCAACACAGTGATCAGGTACATGGAGAGGAACAGTCCAAATATGAGGGGCTGCAGTTCTGGTTCCTCTGATAATCCCAAAAGAAGAAATTCTGAAAATCCTGTGAGGTTCTCCAGTTCCATGTGGTGAAAGTAACTACCAGGAGATAGGAAAAGTAACATCACTAATTTCCCCACAAGCAAGCATTAGTAACCTAGCATTAATGCAACCATCTACATTGTAGAATCAAGGAATTAAGTTCTGTATTTGGTTTATGGCTTGGTCTCCTTTAGGACATCCCTAATGCTGTTTCTCATTAAACTTTCCTTTTCCATGTGAAGACAGATGAAGAATTCTTATGACTTACTCAATTCTTTCAGAAAGAAAAATAATTTTAAAAAGCAAGGGACTAACTGCAGAGGTCAGCACGGTCACTATAGTTAATAATACTGTATTGGGTATTTTAAGTGACCTTATCACAAGAAGAAAATATTATAACTATGGTAGTGACAGCTATTAACTAACTTACTATGCACATTATATTGCAATATATACAAAGACATAATTATTATATTATACACCTGAAACTAATGTAATATTTTAGGTAAATTATATTTCATTTAGTAATTTTAAAGTAATGGAGAAGACAGTATAGGATTGACTGACTGATTGGACCACACAAAATTGATAAACTTTATACATTCTTTATAAACACTTACATATACATAAAAACTAAATGAAAAACAGTTTTTGTATAAAAACTCCAATTCTTTGTTAGAAAGAATCCAATAAAAAATCAAATAAGAGAATATAGGCAATAATATTGTGTTAAGTCTGTACAATGACAGATGAATACAAGACTAGGTGTGGCGATCACATTGTAATATATATAAATGTTGAATTACTCTAGTGTACACCTAAAACTAATATAATATTGTATACAAACTACACTTAAACATAGAATGGAATAAAAATACTTTGTTATAACTCCCCAAAAGCAAAGAACTTTCATGTGTACCACATAGTACAAGTTTATTAGATGCCAACTATAATTTAAAATAAATAAATTAATAAGCATGTAAAGGAGAAACTTACATAGACAACTTTTAATAGAGACTCCAAATAATGTACAAACCCGCAAATTTCATTACTCAGCCTCACAGGTAATGAAATAATTGCAAAGTGAATCTCATTACCTTATTCGTTTTTATCTACCAAATAAATTTTTCAAATGTGAATAGCCAAGGTGAGAGAACATACTATGAAATGTATGTCTCATGCACTGTGATTGCAAAGGTGTATTTGCAAACTTCCTGGGTCTGGATTTTCCTCATTCATATGGAAACATAGTCAAATATGCCCAATCATAAAATTTAAAAAAGGGCCCTCACATCACTGAATATTCCTCCACCATTAAAAACCTATTCATCTATTCTTTTTAATAAAGTCCTTGAACTTACGTTCTATTTCTACTTAGAAGGACTTTATACCTCCAATGCCCATTCTTTTTGTTTCTTTTTTTTAAAACAATGATGGCTGTTTTTTAAAAATATATATCTTTATTGATTTAAGAGAGGAAGTAAGAGGGAGAGGGAAATAGAAACATCAATGATGAGAGGGAATCATTGATTGTCAGCCTCCTACATGCACCCCACTGGTGATCAAGCCTGTAATTCCAGGATGTGCCCTTGACTGAAATCAAATCTGGGACCCTTCAGTGCATAGGCCGCTCTATCCACTGAACAAAACCAGTTACAGCTCCAATGCCATTTCTTAATTTGCCTTTCATTAGTAGCATTTAAATGTCAACATTGGAACTTGCATTTCACTGAGTCTTCACTTTCCGTTGAGCACCATGAATAACACATTACTGTATTGTAAAGCCAGCCACCAATCACAGTGATCACTGGTACCTGGGCTATGTTCTCATGGGTACTAAGGTGACTTCAGGTACAAGTTCTTGGCTTTCAGTCTCTCTGATCCTCACCTGCCATGTCTGTTGGGCTCTGGGACTCACCTGCATGGGAACTCTGAGAGGAAGGTTTCCCTGTGCAGGTCCCAATTCTTGCCTGGATGGTTGGTGATGCAGACCAGAGCTCTGTCCCAGACAAGACAACAAGGAGTCAAACCTTGGTTCTGTTCCCAGGAGTCTATGTAATAAGCCAGGTGAGTGCAACTGTGATTAGTCCTTCATTAAATGCCCTGCTTGCTGACATCTACATCTTCCCGTGCCTCATCTCAACTCTGAGCCAAAGTTTCTGAATAAATGGACCTCGAGGGCATTATGCTCAGTGAAAGACAAATACCATTTGATTTCACATATATGTTGAATCCAAAGAGAAAATAATTGAAACAAACTCATAGACATAGAGAGAGGACTGGTAGTTGCCAGATGAGAAGGGGCTTGGGAGACTAGGAGAAGAAGGGATTCAGAAGTAAAATTGGTAGTTACAAAATATCAAAGGCTGTATAGTACAGCATAGAGCATATAGTCAATAATATTGTAATGACTATGCATATGGCCAGTTGGATATAGAAAATATCAGGGGACCACTTTGTAAAGTATATGATAGTGTAAGCAGTATGTTGTGCTCTTGCAACTAATAAGAAATATGGGAAGCAACAGTGTTTGAAAAAAGTCTAATACTGAGAAATTTGTCTGACTGGTCTTTGGGTCTTTAAAGCATAGATTTATGGTGGGGACACAACCCCTGATATCTCTAGAAAATGACTATTTCCTTCTTTAGGAAATGGAGGATATTGGTTCCTTTTGTATGAAACCTTGAGCTCTATACTACTTGGTTCCATGACAAAACAATTAGGAATTCCGTAGATACAGCACAAGTTAAGAACTGCCATTTAGTCCCTCACTATGAATGTTTATTAAATATAAGAGATGCATTTAGATTTTATGAACCATAACCCAGCTTAGCACATTATAACAATTGGGTACATCTATAAACTACCTTCTCTAATACAGACATGGGGCACAGAGGGATTTAATGTTGTGCTCCAAGGTATAAGCAAAGAAAGGGAAGGATTTTGATTGGAATCAGTCAGGACACTTCCATTTCTGAGATTCTGGGGCAGTGGCTCTCAAACAGAGATGACTTTGTCCCTGGGGATACTGTAATGACTGAAAGGAGCCTGGTAAACACCTACAATGCACAGGATGAGTGGTGTTCTAACCACTATGGACAGATGTGAAAGGAACTACAAGTCTTTTTTGTCCTTCATCTGTTTTCAGCACCTCTCCACGTCATAGGCAAACAGATCACCAAAGTTTGTAGCTCAAATGCAAATTCTGGTTGATCAAATCTCTAGGTGGTCCAGAGACTGCATTTCTGACAAGCTCCCAAGTGATGTTGAGGCTGCAGGTCCTCCTGGTCTGTGGACTGCACTTTGGGTAGATGGGCTGTGGCTCCGTGTCAGAGTCTGGTGTAGGTACTTTTAGGTCTTCTCCCCCAGGAGTCTTCTGAGTATGTAATTTTGAAAGACATGTTTTTGTATCACTCTAAAGGGGAGGATAAATTCTGTGTTTGATTCTTTCATATTAGGGCTCCACAGTGACAACAAATAATTTATACCAGGGAAAGGCTTTGTAGTAGGCAGAATAAGAACCTCAAAAGATGTCAACATCCTAATTTGGAGAACTTTGGGAATATGCTATCTGACAGAGCAGGGTTACTAAAATAGATGAAATAAAATTATTAGCTAAGGAGTTTAGCTCAGATCACCAGGTTGGATTACTGTCATCACAATGATCCTATAAGTGTGAAAGAGAGCAGAAGAATTGGAGTTAGAGAGACATTTGGAGATGCCATGTTTCAGGTATTCAAGATGGAGGAAGGGTCTTGGGTCAAGGAATGCAGGTGGCCTCTAGGATCTGGAATAGCAATTGAGGAAGATTAAGAATGAGATTGGAAAGAGATTGCATTCTCCCTTGAATCACCCAGGAAAATCCAAGCCTGGCAGTCATTTAAATCTAAGCTCTTTAAGACCCATTTGAGGTATTTGAATTCTATATCTGTAAGATAGAAAGCTCTTTTAAGTCACAAGTGTGGTAATTTGTTATGACAGCAATGAGAAACTGATACAGACATTTATCCAGTAAGATATTATTGCAGAGAACTGAATTTAAGCAATGTAAGTCATTCAGATAGCTTCCCCTTGGCAAAGGCATTTTGTGTTGAAATTCCACATTAAATAGAAAATATGAGAGCTGATTTAGAGCTATTTGGCCTGATAGATGGTTCAAAGGATTTCCCATTGAGTAAGTGTTAATGTGGTTTTGAGCTGGAGGCCTTTGAGGCATTAAGATACAAGAAATAATTTATTAAAGTTGAGTTCACACATTTTGTTTTAAATCTTTTTGTCAAATTTCTCCATTTTTTCTATTTCATGTTAATTTGCACATTTATTTTATTAAATTTCTGTATTTTCCAAATTTCTCTCAAGTTTCTTTCATCACAGATGAATCTATAAATGAGTCTGTGTGCATGTGCATAAATATATGTGTGTTTATTTGAAGGGTGTATACAAGTGCACACACAAACACACACTCCTCATTCTTGAACATTTTCTTTGGCCTCAACAAAATATATTTAACATTTTGTTTATACCTTACACTATCCGGTTGAAGTAAGGTTTTTTATTCCACATTATCTTCAGAAAGAAGAAAAATGAAGACAGGTGGTAATATTTTTATAAATTACATAATGCAGTTAAAACTTATTGTGCATTATCTCAAGTTATATACAAATGGATCCACCCACCATTTACTCTTGATATATTGGAGTATAATTACATACAACCAACTGCAATTTGTTTTAAAATGCAATTTTCTGAATTAAAGAAGCCATACATAAATTAATTAGAATTAAAAATTCTAGTGATGTATAACTCATGTCAGATCAAGAACATAGGTAGCTGAGTCACACCAGACATTGGTGGGAAATATATCTCATAACTTGGAAGAAAGCAAGGTTTCATATATAAGTTATATAAACTATGATATTAAAATAAGGCAATTTACATTTTAAAAACTATTTTTACATAATCTGTAAGATCAACTCACAGACATATATGCATGATATATGTATATATATACAGATGTTAAACACCACATACTGGTTTAAGAAAG